TCGGGTTCTGATGCTCTGCGGTCGGGTTCTGATGCTCTGCTGTCGGGTTCTGATGCTCTGCGGTCGGGTTCTGATCCTCGCCGTCCTTTTGTTGGCAGTAAACAGGAGTGAGGTCGGGCTCATGCTGTGTATCCAGAGACCGTTTAATCAGAACCAGAATTAACTGCAGGGACCTCGGTGACCCATGATCCGGTTCTCCACTGTTCTTTTGTCTGATTAGTTTATTTTTCTTCGTGATGCTTGTGGCCTTTTTTCACAGTTTTGAGCTGAAATATCCGTCATCATCATCATCATCCCTCAGCTCACCATCTAATGTGTGCCAGGTTTGCAGCCAATAGCTCTTCTTGAACTGAAATACGACTTTCAGCCGTCTGGGGAAGCGAGGAAGTAAATCCTCTGGTAAAGTATTGTTTGAGGGCTGATATGTCAGAATGGTTTACAGCTTTCATCTTCCAAAGGGAAAACACAAAAACCACAACCCATAGGAATTTAGATCAATAACATATTTTAAGTATGGAAGAAATTAGTCAATATTCTGTTACACTTATTTTTGTTTCAGAGTGTAACAACTTGGAAAATATCTGATGTTTTTGCTGATGTTCATGCGTTCATGAATTACATTTAAACGTTTTCAAGTTACACAGAGTTTGGAGTGATTTTTACCTTCTGCATGGAGTAAAGATGCTGCAGCAAAATCATCAGTTCTAAAAATTAGACTTTTTTTTTTCTTTCTTTGTTGCAAACTCTCAGCAACTCAGCTACAAGACGTTCAGAGGAGGAACAATTTTTTCTGCATCAGTGGATTTGATTTATACGAGCAGCGCCGCATTCAAGATGCGCACAACAAATATCTCCATTGAAGTTTCAGGATAAACAAACAGTTGAAGACTGATTCGTTGCTTCTTTCTTGGACTGATTTGAGGGTTTTCTTCAAACTGTAGATGTCTTCAGAAAAGCCCAGTTGGGAATGTTTGTGTTGCTTGTCCTTCTCTTCTGTCCTTGCAAGGACCTGCAGTTTTCTGATGACACAAACTTTTATTTTTGGGTGAAATTTGAAAGTGGATCCTGTTCTGTGTTGGTGGGTTTTCTACAGACTTCAGTGGTGAGGCCTCTGTCTCTCTCTTTGTGTGCCAAACAGTCCAAAGGAGGGATCTTTTAGCCTTTGGTTTTCCACCCTTTGTGAAACTTGTATTGTTATTCACTTTTGATTCTACTTCTTTGGCTTGGATTTTGACCCGGTGTCATCCTGTGCGATTGTTTCTCTCCAAGAAGTTCTGCTTCCTACTTCCTCCAGGTATAAATTATTTATTATTTATCTACATAAGAACTTAAGATTTTTATATATATTAACTTGCTTGTCTTTGTAAGCGTATGGGGGCCTTTTATGCCTTATTTTTGAAAATGGGCAGGAACTGGACTGAAATGCAACAAAAAGCAGCCAAAGTGTAAAGAAAACTTTTAAAAAGCTGTTCAAAAATGCTTGAAGAGTCAATTAATCAAGACTGCTTTGAAAGATTAGGAGAAAATCATCATACTATAAAGCAGGATACACTTTATTACTCTATCATACTCTTTTCAGATAGTGGGTATGCTGATTAGAAAAATGACAATATATTGACAATCCCATTGCTTTATATAATTATCTTGTTTTAAAAAATGATATGTACTTGTATAATCCTTCAAATTAAAAAAAAAAGAAATGCTTTCTCAATTGACAATGGCGTATCAGTGTTCCAGACATATAGTCTGAATGGTTTAACTATTGTAATTCTCTAGTGGCCTGAAACTTGTTATTCAAATCACAGAACATGATCACATTGTCCCTGTGATTGTTTAAAGTGGCCCTCTGGTATTTAGAGCTACTTCAAGCTGTAATTGGATACACTGGAAACAATATGTTTGATTGAAACCACTGGGAATTGTAGCATAGCTGAGCTGCAACTTCACTTGCGGAGAAAAACAGGCGTGTTGGATTGAAATTGTGCTTCCAAGACTTCTTGAGCTCCAGTCGGCTAAGAATAAGAGAGAGATTTAATGTTTAAAGTGTAGTGAGATCATTTTATATTCTTATAAATTTCATCTCAAATTAGTTTTACTAAGTCACTGTTTGGATCTTACGCAGTATTTTAATTGGACTATAATATTTCTCTCACTGGCCTCTTCGTAAAAGGTTAAGAGGTGCCATTTACTGCACAGTGAAACTGAGTTTATACAAATATCTCACAAATGACTCATAATCACATGCATGTCCTGCTGCCGTTTATTGTCCTTGTAATCTTGAAAATTCTTACTTTGCTAAAAAGCTTTATGTCTTCCAATGTAATCAGCATAACGCACTCGTAACCACCTGCAGAAAACGTTGGCACAGTCGCGCAGCATGTGGCACTCTCTTGCTTACAGCTTGTTTCAAGCTCAATGCCCGTTTTTATACCATTCTGACAGATTTTTTATCTGTCAGAAAAAAATCACATCTTTGTTGATGTACTTCTAGTACTTACCAATTTGCAACATTTTAATTTTGAGTTTTTGATCAAATGACAAATTGATGGATTATCTCACATCTGTTTTGTCTCTATAATAGTTTTGTATGTATTTATTGTTGACATTAATGCTGACTTATTTTGTGTTTTGGACTTTTGTTTTTTCCCAGTGGAAAGTACAATGTACATACATGTGCAGCCAGGCTCATGTTGTTACGTTCAGCGCTTCTAATATCTGTCCTAACAGCCTTTGGAAGTTAAAATTATAAAGTCCAGATTGCAGCAACATTAACACTCTGTGTTTCCCAGTGGTTGGAATATCAGTTTAACTGAGACGCTGCAATCAAACTTAGAGATTTTAAAGTGGAATGTAGGAATCGGTGCAAAATTCTGCAGAGTTTGGTGTAATAAAAGCTAAAAATAAGCAAAGAGATTTTGAGTTTTGGATGTTGAAATATCATGAAACACACCAGATTATTTTGTGGTTTTGCTGCTGGTGACTCATTGGAATCGTTATATTGGAAAAATGTTGAATTAATGAGAGTAAAGATTTATTTTATTTTGTCATCACTGAAAGGGATAAAAAAAAGATGCTTCACATCTGGACATGTATAATAACCACAGCTGCCTTTAAGTGACTGTTACTTACATGCAGCTGTTTGAAATGGTTATCTTGATCATTCTTGGACTTTTCCACTGAGCTGAATATTAGTCGGTTTTATGATAACTGAGAGACAGATGCTGTTTTTTATCATGATCACCAACCAGAGATAAATAAGCTCTAGTCACATTTAGCTACTTTATCTGAATATATGTATATATTTCATTCTGTGTGCATAATTTTAAACCTATAGATTAAAAAAATTGTCTGAAGAAAATCTAACTTTTGCATCTGATACTTGGATCACTTTAACTCGTTCTTGTTGTCTGCTGTACGATCTCTGAATCCTAGAAATGTAATGGTTCAAATAAAACATCAAAAACTCAGCATTTTTGTTATTTATGCCTCTGATTATTAATGTAAACTTTTGACCGGAACTGAGGCCCGATTGTGTTGTTTTAGACAATTTTTCAGTTTTTGCTTCAGGCGTTGTTGTTATCACACCTTAACTCGTAGAGAGATTTTTCAAAGTAATCTCAAACGTATTCATTGGGATAAAAGAAAAGTGGAGATAATCTACAAAGGCAATCTGAATTGCTGGAGGGGTTGAATCACAACATCAAGGGTTGATCCACTGAATTATGCATTTAAGCAGAGATACCTGATCGTAACAGCAAGATGCATGAACAAGGAATTACATATGTGGGCATTTAAATTAAAGAAAAAGCAATATGTAAACACTGATCTTGTTATCTTCTAATCACGGCAGGTGATGGTATAATTGCTGTCCTGAATAGTATGTAACACCTTTTTAAGCCTCTATTTTTTTCTATACCATTGTAATTTACTGCAGGAGGACTGAATGATATCTGTCCACCTCATTCCTTTTTCATATGCAAATGAGGAAACAATGAAAGTGGCTGCGCTTTCTGTTGGGAATCAGCCCTTGCACCCACAGAAACTCACTCGACTTGTGCACAGCTGCAATTATTCTCTGCAGTAGGAGCAGAGGTGATTTTGGCACAACTCTGATGAAAGCAAACAAGATCCAGCAAATAGTTGACTCATTTGTTTAATACAGTATGTAAACGGGATGAAAGGCGCTTTGAAATGGGTAGAGCGGATAAGTGGGCCTCACAAGCCAAGTTTTAGGAATGTATGTCTGCAGAGCTGGCTCTGAACTACGATGTGTTCATGAGTGTCGGATTCCTCAAAGAGCAGCTTGGATCGTTGTTGTTCCTGGAGTCTGAATCCTTTCATGGGCCCTGACTGGAAAGTTTAAAGCATTATTGTAATGCATGTTGTTTTCTCGCATAAACTGGGTCCGATTGTATCAGTATGCCAGCATCTGCTGAATTTATTAGTAATTTTACATTTATATGCAGTAAAATCCTAACATGTGCTATGGTTATTTATAGGTTGCAGGATCTGGAGGAATTGGGGGAGCTCTCTCCTCACTGGGACAACCTGAGGAAGGAGGTTGTGACGCGATACGGAGGAATCATCAGCTCTTACCAGGAGACTTTGGCTGAGCTGGAGAAGATAAGCGGTATAAAAATATAACCTTTTTTAATCTTAAACCCAGTCCTGTTTCACACATGCACACTGCAGTTTATCAAATCACAAATAAATGGTTTTTTTGTTTGTTTTGCAGACTGCACTGCAGACCTTTTCAATCACTGTAGCATACATTGCAACAATATTCATACCGTGTGAACTTTTCTACTTGTTGTCACATTGCAACCACAATCTTCAGTGAATGTTACTGGGCTTTTATGTGACAGACATAATAATAAATACACATGCTATTGAAAAATCTAAAAAATCTGTTGTGCCTTTACATCTGGCTCTGCGATTCAATACAGTGTCAAAAAGCATTTTTGATACACTTTCAATTCAATTAAATTTAATTTATTCATTTTGTGCCAATTCACAGCAAATATTGTCTCGAGGCAGAAATAAATAATTTCAATTCAATTATATTACAGTCCAGTTTGTTAGTAGTGCAGGAAGCTCAGTGAATCATTCAAAGTGGGTTAAAAAGTAGATTACATGGAGTCAGTACCTGCATTTCCTTTACAGATACGCATAAAACTTTGTCAATATTCCACTAAAACACATAGTTTCACAATTGCAGTATTTTCATTACACACAGTCTGCTCACACGATAAGTCATTATAAACAACATGGTGCCACATCATCCTTCTACCACTTCTTGTTGTCGTCTTCTTCGCCAGTGGTCACATTCATGACTTGTGGGATTGGAAAAAAGTCTTTCCATTGCAATTTTTGTGAAATATGCTAATTTTGATATTGTTGAAACAAAACCACCTCAAAAACTTATCTTTAATGCAGCTCTTTGTTAAGGGTGTGTGTCTTCCAGCTTTGCATGTTAAGAGTCACATTTTATCTCACTATTGCTAATTTTTCATCAGATTGGACAGGAAGCATCAGTAAAACTTGAAACCCAGTGTTCAAGTTTTGCCAAAGATTTTGATCTAGACTTTGACTTCTCCATTCTGACAGAATCACGCTTTGATCCAAACCATTCCTCTATAGATCTGCCTGTACGTTTAGAGTTCTTGCACAAGAAAATTAACAATCATTTCTTGACCCTCTTGAAGAAACACATCGTCACAAGCAGAGATCTGATCAGAGCAACTTCTTCCACATGTCAGCTGCGTGCCTTACATGTCATGTAACAAACCTCAAACTGGACGTCTTGTAAATGTCCTGTCTGCTGAGTTGTCTGGTCTGTTTTCTCATTAATAATCTCTCATAAACCTCAGAGGTCTTCACTACAGCATTCGATGTGCTGATTTGATACTTCAAACATGCTGTACAAAGTCAAAATCATGCTGTACAAAGTCAAAATAGACACAAGTTAAGTGAATGCTGAAAAAGGTTGGTTGTAATAAATTATATTTGGGGTATTGGAGTAAAGAGGGATGATTTCTAAAACACAGGACACTTTTTATCCCCATCTATTTTATTTTTCCATCCACTTTACAATTATGTGGCAGTTTGTTTTGGTATTTTAAGTAAAATCTCCAAGAGATACCTTAAAGTTTGTAGTTGTAACATGACAAAATATCTAAAAGTTCAAAGGGTGTAAATCTCTTTGAAAGCCACCGCATTCCTCAGAAACAATAGGATTGGTTTCTTTGCGATAATCAGACTGTTGTGGAGAAAATAGCCTCCTGCTGTGAAGTGTTGCAGGAGAAACTGAAGAGGTACTGTATGAAACAGCAGTAATAAGGTCCAACCCGCCCCCTGCTGATCCTGTAAATCTGATGTGAAGCAATAAAGGCTCAGATTAGCCTCAAGCATGTTCCACCAGGACCAAAAAGTATCTAAAAGAACAGATGCTGAAAGCACAGTGATAGATATAGAATAATTTGCGTCACTGGGAAACTAAATCAAAGGTTGCTCTTACAGAGCTTTATAGGAACTTGTTTTGTTGTGAGCAATCAAAATGTGTATGCGACTGTGTGATTTTCCTTTTTCCTGCTGTGCAAGAGGCACCATTTTAACATCAAGGCTACACTTACACCTCATTTGGACACAGCTCAACATTAAGTCCACTGTTAGCCCTAATTTAGACCTTATTCTGTATTTCTGCATGAATTTAGACTTATTCCTTATAGCCTTCACACACAAAGAACTCAGAAGTCTGAGATCTGCTTTGGTATGGAAGAAAATACTAAACTAAACTGAAAGGCAGTTTGATATCTTTACATTTTATCAGACCAGCTGTACATCCACCTCTCTATTGAGAATTTGGCTTTAATTTCAAAGTTGTAGGAAGACAAGATACTATTGAAATAGAACACAATAGAACACAATCAATCGATCACCTGTCATTGCTACATCAGTCAGGCGATCAAGATATGGAAGATCAGACATGCTGTGAATTCACAGCATGTCTGATCTTCCATATTGTGCTGTTTTGGTTCAAGTGAGTTTGAGGTCCTTGAGGTGTGAAGTTATTTGGAAAGGGAGAAATATAAACATTGAATCCACTAGTAACCGAAAGTGTCTGTCTTGTATTCAGTGCTGATGAACAGCTTGATAGTAGGAATGCAAATGACAGTAGAGAACTTGCTGTAGTTTTTAATTACACTGAAATTTCCATCTTGCTAAGAAAGAGCAAATGTTATTTAAAATAATGGGGCCAAGGGCTGAGCCCTGGGGAACCCAGGAGGTAAATCTGTGAGGCTGTGGTTTTGTATTGCCAACAGAAATGTTGTTTTGTTTGTTTGTTTGTTTTCTGTAGGTAAGATAGAATTAGAACAATTTGATGGCAGTGAGTCCATCTTTGTTCTGAAGAGAGTTAAAAAAAAATGCCATAAGCAAGATTGTCGAGTCCTGAAGCCAAGTCAAGCACAGCGAGGAGAAGAGAGTCAGCATCTTCTGCCATCAAAAAATCATTCATCCTCCTCATCAGGTCTATTTCTAGGCTGTGGCCAAAATGAAAATCTGATTTTCTGGTTCTTGAAAACATTTCAAATGGTGATGAATATGAGCAGTGACTTTCATCCACTACTTTGGAAAGAGAAATTTGAAATGAACCTGAAGTTGGCCAAGACATGAGCTTCAACAGCAGGCTTCTTTGGAAGTGGCCAAATTCTACAGCTTCTTTAAATTAAAGGATAATACCAAGCAAACTTGTAGAGAGTGGTTTATTACAGAGGTGATCCGGGGCTTATGGCTGAAGTATTCGATTATAAGTATTGTTGGAACTAGATCAGACAGGAGTGCAGAAAGATGATAGCTTCATCTTCTTGCTGAGTTTAGAACATTAAACTGGCATCAGGCAATCATTAAGTATGAGGGGAAATAAGACTTTCATCCAGGCAAAACTAAAGTAATGATGTCATAAAACACTATGAATTTTGACCCTTCATTCGAAAACACACATTATGCAAAATAGAGGCATCAACAATTTGACTTAATAAATGTGGCAGAACTTGATCAACAAAACGCTCCTCATTTATATTTAAACATATTTATAGATATGCTGACATACATGAGAAGATGAGGAACTGTTATATCTGGGTTTGTTTCTTTTCTTGACTTGTAGAACTATTTAACTCCAGTCTATGCATGGCTAGACGGTGCAGTAGCTGTTTCAGTGTATGCCAACCCATGACTCGGTGATTAAATTCAGTGTTACAAGTTGAGATAAAAAGTTCAAGCCAACAAATAAAAAACAAAACACTTCAGACATGCAGGCTTTAGTTAGTGCTTCCTCCAAACATTTTGCATGTTGATGTTAATTTGTTCAATTAATTCTAATTTAAAATGTAAATAATTAATCTTCGTCTGATTTGCTTCAACATTTAGTAGAGAAGCACTAAGCATGTTTTTAGCTCCTCTGAATATCACTGGCTGATTAACTTATGCGTCTGAACAGCAGTAAAGTTCGCTGTGCTGTGAATAGAACAGAGGTTGCTCTCAATCCCCTGTTTGCTTCTGGAATAAAGGCATATTAGGTTTACATCAGCTGCCCTGCTGCTCCACTAAACTCATTAAATTATCACTAATTAAAGTGTTATTATGAATACCAACTTCATGTACTGACCAATCAGGCTGCATTTATGTCCCCACTCAGCCGAACCTTCAAGCCGTGCATATTTTAGCACGATGTGAGCTTTACGAATATAACGGCTGATTAATTTCCCACTGATCCTCTTCTATCCCATTAATGAGATGTTTGTCTCTGCCGGGTTTTGCTTTTCCCTCCTGATGAGACGTGAAGGTGAAGGACTCAGAGGAGGTGGGTGTTGGACTCTGTGGTTTTGGTCATTATGGTTCCTGACGGGATCCTCATCTGGCCTGGATTCTGCTGAATCCTGGCCTGATTTTCCGTCTTTAACCAGTCTGACATAACCGCATGACAGTCGTTGCCAAACAAGTTGTGAGTGCAAGCTGCTGCAGATGAATTATTGATCACTAAAAATAACTCAGAAGGATCAGTCTGTGCAGGAGTTTCCATCAGAATAAATAAATGTTTGCAAAAATAATGTCATTCATTTTAAATACATGTCAGTTTTATGGTTTTTCAAATTTCTTAATAAGTACTGTAATGAATTTTCATTTCTGTGGAGATTTTTCTAATAAAGTACTTATTTAATTAAGACAAATTGAACCTTGTTATTTTTTTTCACATTTTCATATAATTCCCAGAATTGTCCAGAGGAAAGCTGATAAATGGATGTGAAATATAAAATGCTCCCACAGGACAGAACATATTCCACCTTTTTAATTAATGTAATTGGGTTTTTCAGGCATGACTCTGAGCTCTGAGATTTGCTGTCCTTAAATAGGCTTATTTATGCGTTTATAATAAATTGATGAGCTCTTATCCACATGAAACTGAAGGTCAGACTTATCCACAGGGATTTTCATTTGTTGAAATGAATCGGAGGTCGCTACATTTCACTGGACAGTTTAAGTCATTTGATTGCTGGTGTTTTTTTACTCCTAAAACAGAAAAAATATTAGCTAAAACAAAATTATAACTAAACAAAGTCCTACAACCTGAAG